GATACTGCGCTGGGCAAGTACGCTTGCTCAAATCCTGCTCGTGTCAACAACGCCTGCACAGGAGCATCAGGGACAGGTCTGAGAAGCAGTGTTTTGTAATAGTTAGGCTTCTCAATCTAGGGCTTGAGAGACCCAGGTTCAAACCCACAGTCAGCTGTGAAACCCCCTGGTTGACCACGAGTCCCACCCCACTGAAGGGGGACACAAAACACAGCTCTCATGACAAGGTTCTGTGGGCTGCAGAGGCACCAAAGACAGAAAACAAAGGCAGGCTCCTTGGGGGGAAAAAAACCCTTCAACAAAAAACAGCTTTTGAGCCTATTTGGAAGCCCTTTGCTTTTCTCATATTTTACTGAAACAAACATCATCAATCAATACAATCACCCTCCCTGCCCAGCTAGTGTCTAAAGCAACATTTCAGCTCAGGAGGAATTTGGGGTGGTCAAGACAGTAAATACACGGAGAGTTTGGGGGGTGGGGAGGGGCGGGGTGGGGTGGGGAGAGAATTCAAGTGCTGCCAAATTGGCTTCCCTCAAGGCTGCTGCTGCTGCCTCTTCTCCTTGGAAGCCGTTTGCTTGACAAAAGAGTGTTTAAATGGAACTGAGGAGGACAGCCTGCCTGTCCCGGGGAGACCTGCTTTTAAGACAACGGGGCACAGAAAAAGTAAGAGGAATTAAGTGAAAGAACTGGGAAGGTTCTACTATACATTACAGCTGGTATGATTATTGAAAATCTTCTTTGATAACTGTGAGACGTCACCAGAGGTAATGAACTATTGAGAGACAGTTTTTGTCCCACATCTTTGTTCAGAAGAAGATCTTCCTTCGAAACGGCAAGACATTCCGGAGACCACCGTCAATATACATTTTTCTATGATTATGTATATTATTTTTGTTCACTTTTCTATGATTCTTTAAAGACATATATTAAGCGTCACTTTCTCACAGTTTTTCTTGTTCGTATTATCTCATTACTGTGCCAATCAATTGTTATCATCAGAGAGACAGCCAGCCCTGCCATTCTCCTGTTCTCCCAGAGCAAAGTATGGAACACCATCCTTGTTTCCACCCCTCTTCCCCCCCACTAGGCATCTTACAGGATAGCTGCAATTGGGGAAAGCCCTCCTGTCTCTGCCACCAGAACAGAGCAGAAGGAGCTGCAACCGGAGACTCATGGCTGCTGTCAAGCAGCAGCAGCCATGCGCGTCCACTCCTTCCTCACTGCCCAATAACGTTTAGTAAGGCAAACAATGCGATGTCACATTACCATGTTTTCAGTCCTTCCTCCCCCAATGCTCCATTTCATTGGATGTTGCCTGCTGGTTTTGGGGAAGAAGAGGAGGAGGAGGAGATTGGATTTATACCCTGCCCTTCACTACCCAAAGGAGTCTCAGAGCGGCTTTCCCTTCCCCTCCCCACAACAGACACCCTGTGAGGTAGGTGGGGCTGAGAGAGCTCTGACATAAACTGCTCTTTTTTCAAGAACAGCTCTTATCAGAACTATGGCTTGCCCAAGGTCATCCAGCAGGTGCAAGTGGAGGAGCGGGGATCAAACCCGGTTCTCCCAGATTAGAGTCCACGCACTTAACCACTACACCAAACTGGCACAATAATGTCGCAGTATGTATTCTGGAGTACCATGCTACGCAGGACTGCTGATTTTCAATGGCAGCAACGTGTGAACAGTCATGTCCAGTTCCAACCTTAGTAAGTTCGGCCCGAGGCAAGCCATTCGGTCTCAGCCAGAGGTGGAATTCACCATCAGACCAGCTTATTTTATTTTAAAGAATGGGCCCAGCCTACCTAATTATCATCTTGGAGGTCTCATTTCAATTTTTACTTCTGTTGAAAGGGAAAATCTACTTAGAACATTACATGTCAGGGTTTTCAAGTCTTGCTTCCATTAAAAAATTACAACCGTTCTCCCTGTTATACACAGAATGATTGCCTCTGCAGGTGTTCCTAGCTCTTGCATATTGTACTGGGCTTGGATTGTGGCAGCAGTGGTCTCGGTCTCATATCACCTGTGGGGACTGAATTCCACTCCTGCTCTCAGCCACATCAGCTGCAACATAGTGAGAATCATTCCTCACAGTGAGAAGTACAGAGGTGAAGCAGGGATTCCTCAGACTCTGTCAGAAGATACGTAGTGCATTTCTGAAAGGGAGTGTGCCTGCTGCTACCGATTTTAACCCACAGGGAATGCTGGGTGGGCTACAGAGCACCTTCCCAGTGCACACGGAGGGACAGCCCTGGCCCAAGACCCATGTGCACTCTGTGCCCTCCGGATCCTATGGAATATGTAAGGCCTCGCTGGTGGATATGTCAGACTAGAACCCAGGTTCAAATCTCTGCTAAGGCACACAGATTCACTCATTGGATGACCTTGGGACAGGGTTGCCAGGCTGCAGCTTTCAAACCCCTAGAGCAAGCAGGGGGATGGGAACTGACATGTCATCACACCAGCGTGCTAACATCACTTCTGGTAAAAAACAGAAATAATGTCACAGGATGCTCTAGGATTTACAAAAGCTCTATGGTAAAAACCCCAGAGTTTTGTCTTGGTACACTCTAGGATTTACAAAAGCTCTATGGTAAAACCACAGAATTTTTGCAAATCCTAGAGCATCTACGACATTGCTTCCAGTTTTTACCAGGAGTCATGCGCTGGTGTGCCCCCCATCCCCTCTCATTTCCTTCCACTATCACTTCAGAAGCTGGTGGGCAAAGCAGTGAGTTGCCTTGGACCTATCAGTCTCTGTAGTACTCCAGTCTTATCAGGCCTGCAGGAGGGTCCTCTTTGGTGTTTGTGTAAAGCATACACTTAATGGAGGATTCCCCCCCCCCAAGAAAGTGAAGACCTAAGCCTCCTCTTCCTACTTCAGTCAAGTTCAGGGCTTAGGATTGGCCCTTGCCTGTTCTGGAGGGAAAAGAATGACCAATCCTGAGTAAGGGATCTGCGAGGAGTTCATAAAATCCTCCCTCTCCAAGGCTGTGTGTGCATTGCCCTGAGACTGGTTAGTGGGGTGGCTGCTGCTCGTGGGGCGTTTGCCCTCCTGCTGGAGAAGCAGAGGCCATGCCAGCCTGTCTGAAAGGAAGACGCAGTACAGTGTAAGTTGTGTTAAGGAGTCAGTTCAGGCGTCTTAGGGAATCCTGGGCCCCGGTCAGACGTGCTGGAAAATGTGCGGGGGGGGGGGGGGGCGCGTTTGTGACCGCTTCGCATTCTGATGCGCTATTATGCAATCAGACGCGACGGTGGCTTCCCCGCAGCAAAGAGGATGACAGGGGAGGAAGCCATGCCGGCGCGATCACACCGGGAGGCTTCCATAGGCGGCCCGTGGCAAAGCGTTTGCCACTACCTTTGTTGAAGTAGTTTTTTACTGCGCGGCTTCAGTGACTCGCCACGGGAGTGCTACGCCTCCCAGATGTTCCCGTGTGATCGCGCCCGGATACTCCGCAGGACTCCCGTGCCGTCAGCGGGGCAAATGCTCCGTGTGAACAGGGCCTTTTATTGCTTTCCTTTTGCTTGGTAACACACAACCTGTAAGAGTACTTATTTTTGCTACCTTTTGACTTTCTTGTATTTTTAACATAACCTTTTAATAAAACCCTTTAAAAATGGGGGGAGAGCTCTTTGTACACTTCAAGGCTCGGTGGCTGATTCAGGCAGCTTCCTCCTTGCGACAAGGGGAATGCTGCCAGGGGGATTCAAGGAGGAAAAGGGTGGGGGTAACTTGGGCTCTTCTTAAAGCAAACCCTCAAAAGCCAGGCTGGTGGCAGTGGTCTATCAAACCACCATTGAACTTTACAAAAAACTAGTTGTCAAAAGATAGGAAACCCTGTTGTTTCTGGAATTTATAATATCAGCCTGTGCCAACCGCCTGGAAGGTACCCTAAATAGATCTGGGAGCCAGTTATGGGAAGAAAGAACTTGTATAGTAGCCATCATTGACTCAGTTACAACAACAACAAATTAGCACTTACTGTTAATTAGGTTTAGAAGAAGAAGAAGAGATTGGATTTATACCCCGCCCTTCACTACCCAAAGGTGTCTCAGAGCGGCTTACAAACTCCTTTCCCTTCCCCTCCCCACAACAGACACCCTGTGAGGTGGGCGGGGCTGAGAGAGCTCTTGACAGAAACAGCTCTTTTTCAAGAACAGCTCCTTATCAGAGCTACGGCTTGCCCAAGGCCATCCAGCCAGGTGCAAGTGGAGGAGTGGGGAATCAAACCCGGTTCTCCCAGATTAGAGTCTGTGCACTTAACCACTACACCAAACTGGCTTTTAGCTTGGTTTAAATGTTTTAATTGTTTTAACAGCATATATATGCTGATTTTATGTAAGCCGCCCTGAGCCAGCCTTGGCTGGGAGGGCGGGCTAAAAAAATTGAGAAAATAAATAAAATAAATAAACCCCCACCCACCATATGGTTAAGCGGAGTGGGTGTAAAGGAAGCAGAAAGACGGTGAGCGAGGGGGCACGGCAATCTACAGTCCAAATTAGGGGCTCTGTAGCTAGCCCACCGATTCCAGCGTGCCTCCACTTCCGTGACACCTTCTCAGCTTAACCTGCCTTTTAGGATGGTTGTTGTGAGGTGAAAAGAGAGGAGAGTAAATCTATGTTGCACAGCACTTTGCGTCTTTCTTGGGGAGAAGAGCAGGACATTTATATCTCTCTAAAATAAAAATAATTTCACATGGAGAGAGTTGCCTTAGTGCGGAACTTTTGAAAACTATGGCTCTAGCGCACCCTCAAAGTGCTTCATTTACAACCTTCCCCCATTCTGCTCTCAGCAAAACTAAGCCAAACTACCCCAGGATATAAACCTATGAAGAGGTATGAAAAAAAGGTGTGTGGAAAAGTCACCAGGAATTGTTTGGGGTTTGCATGAAATCTTTGGTTCTAAGCACTACAATGTCCCTCCAGGGAGTGAAACATTTCCCCAACTACAGCCTCTGGCCCAGTACTCAGATGCTGACACACTCGCTGAAACTTTTTACCTGGCTTGACTGCCCGCATTACAGCTTGGCATGACTTCAGCACGGCTTCATAGATGGCCTTCTGGTCCGGAGTGAACTTTCCGTTGGCTGGAAAGGTACAGGTGATATCCGAGCCATAACAATGGTATTCACCTCCCATGTCAAATAAGCTGTGGAGAAGAGGAGAGAGCGGCAGCCATGAGAAGCGGGGAAGTGTGCATCTGACAAAGAAGAAATCCACGGGGTCATTTGGGATCAGCTGCCCAACAGTTTGCTAACTGGCAACATGAGTGACTTCAGTCCCTTTGGAAGCAATGACACGGGAAAGACTGCTTCGACCTGCGATTAAGACTAAAGATTTTCACTGAAAAGACACACACACACATACACACACACACACACACACACCCCTCTCTCAGGAGCAGAATCACCTGAACAAGGAGAAGCTTCACTTCTTCAAATAAAACACCTAAAATGTAGCAGTTCAGGAGTGCATTTTTATGAAAGCAATATGGTTGTTTTAGCATCCGTCAACATGTTAGGCATTGCATTGTTTATTGTATTATACAGTAGGTTGGATCCAGCCAGCTTTTTTCATCTAATTTCATCTATTCCCCCTCCTTACTATAGCCCCTGTTGCATGTGCGTTTGGTCCTCGCAGGTCTCCAGCATAGTCCTTCTGATGGTTGGAGGGGACCCTTTCTCTCCCTTTTTGCCAGTGGAAACAGCAGGTATTAGAAATGAGCCTAAGAATGCTTGCACCTCAAATCCAGTATTATTATACCTAACTAGAAATAAGGCCCACTGTGGAAATAAATACAACGAGCTCTAGAAAGAGGCTTTGGGAGAGTGCCCGGCCTTGGGCACTAAGTGTCAATTTGCTGTGGCAACCTCAGCAGGGTATAATGACACAGAGTCCACCATTTTCTCCAGAGGAACTGATCTCTGCTACCCGAAGAGCAGTTGTAATTTTGAGTGATCTCCAGCCCTCCCCAGGAGATTGGTGACAATGGTTCCCCCGTAGGAAATGGTTGGTTTGGAGGATGGAGTCTATGGCATTGTACCTGTCTGAGGTCAAACCCCTCCTCAAACCTCACCCTCTCCAGGGTCCTCCCCTCAAATTTAAATGCCTCCCTGTTCCAGGAGAGGATGGGGGGTGCTCTAGGAGCCTACAGCCTCAAATTGGCCCCAGTGGGTGCAGGTTTTTGGTCTTCTCCGCACTGCCTTCATTGTAAACTCAGGACTCTATACATGAATGAACTTTCAAAGAGGAAGCCCTAAAATACCTACATGTTTTCATATTGGCCTACCTACACGGGACACTCTCTCCAGGTGCACCCGAGTCCTGTCAAGCCAGGCAGGCATCCAGAGTTCCCATGTTGAAAACTAGGTCTCAGGTGTACCGAGGCCATTGCATATCCTATGCAACTTTGAAAGAGGTTTAGATACGGAGTTCCTAGGCACGTCTGGTTGGACAGAACCCAGAGTGGACCCCGAATTCCCGTATAATTAGGCTCATCTGAGAACATGTGGGTATTCTAGGGCTGCCTCTCTGAAAGTTCCTTCAATAAAGTTGAATGGTTTGCATTCAGAAATAACAAAATAAGTGATGAAACATATGCAGCATCCATCTTCTCATACTTTATAAACCATTCTTTTTGGCTTGAATGTCCTAAATAATATTTTAAAAAAGAGAAGTTACTTTATCAGCACATCTGGCTGCATGTATCTATGCTACTCAGCTGCAGCATAAAAAAAACCCCTGGAAGGAGATCGGGCAAGTGGCTGCTTGCAAGCCTCCAGAGAGGTTATTTTTTAATCACACTTTTTTTTTTGCAGGCTAGGAAGTTTGCACTTTGTCCTTAGATAGCTGTCAGCCCTTCTGTCTGATGAGTCTCTGAGGAAAGGTCGAGTCTGACAGAAATGGAACTCCGTGCATTCTTTGTCTGTGCCAAAGCTACGGAAGGCACCAGGGCAGACAGTGGTTCAAGGTCACACGCCTGGCTGCCACCAAGCCACCCCATGCAGAGTTCACTGCTAATCTCTACGGAGCTCTTCCTCACGTCACAACGCTTCACAGGCCAGAGTGGATTTCATTAGCAGCATAATGAGCTGCATAATAATGCCGGCACGGAACATCACTAGGACTGCAGAAAAAAATCCGAGTTTGTTAACTGCCTGTAATTTTGGGAAGAGCCCCCTAACCCCCCTCCCCCGAACTCCTCCCTGCAACTATTGTCTGCACATGTGTAGATGCCAGGGTTGCCAACCTCCAGATCACCCAGAACTAGAACTGATCTGCAGACTAGAGGGATCAGCTCCCCTGGAGAAAAAGGCTGCTTTGGGGGGATAAACTATATGACATTTACACCCTATTGAGCTCCCTCGCCTCCCGAAGCACCACCCTTCCCAGGATGCACCACAAGACCCTGGGAATTTCCCAACACATAGTTGGCAATCCCAGTAAATGCTGCACGAATTAAACTGGGGGTTATCCTAACACACACCACACACAGCGAGAGATAGATTTAGCCAATGAAACACACAATGAATATTAAACATTTTATTTAGTCTTCCTCCCTAATGGGGACCCATGATGACTTACAACAGTCTCTCATCCTCTACTTTATCCTCACAGGAACCACACTCTAAAGCAAGTTAGGCTGGGAACATGTCATGGGTCCAAGTTCCCCCACTGAGCTTCTGTGACAGAGCAGGGGATTTGCACCTGGGTCTCCCGGAGCCTAGTCCAGCACTCTAACCACTCCGCCATGCTGGATGTCTACTATTTACTTTATTTATTTAATTAGATTTTTAAAACGGCATCCCCTATAAAATAGGGCTCAGGGCGGTGTACATCAAAGAGAACCATTTACAACATTCACAATTCATAAATTACATTTACTGTTTAAAACAACATTAGCTTGTAACCAGTAGATGGCGATAAAACTGCCCAAAATATGCCACCGCCTCCTGAAGGGGAGTCAGGGAGAAAAGGAGGAGTGCCAGCCAGACGGAAATAACTGCTGCTGTCCTCAGCTGAATGCCTGGTGGAATATCTCTGCCTTACATGCCCTGTGCAACTGCACTGAGAGCCAGTTTGGTGTAGTGGTTAGGAGCGTGGACTCTAATCTGGGAGAACCAGGTTTTATTCCCCCACTCCTTCACATGCAGCTGCTGGTGTGATCTTGGGTCAGTCACAGTTCTCTCAGAGCTTTTCTCTCAAGGGCAGTTTTCTCTCAGAGCTCTCTCAGCCCCACCCACCTCAGAGCCCCACCTACCTCACAGGGGAGGGGAGGGGAAGGGAGAGGAGATTGTAATTAAAACTTATTAAGAATGCTATCAATATATTACAATCTGAAGCACTACAACATGATAAACCAATCATAAGAAAATCCTTGAACCAAGGTACATAATCAACGTCGTCTCCGGATTATATAACAACATTTCAAAAAATGGATCTTCTTCAGGAGATATTACTAAATTCAGATAGGACGCTGATCTCAGTTAACATACAGGCTCAAAATATGCTGCTATGTTTCTAATGGATCCCAGCCTGGCAACATTTGTGATCTGGGGCTGTGATAAGGAGGCATCCAGGATCACACCCAAGGTCTTGACAGTTGGTGCCCATGGTAAACAGGCCCGCTTTGACTTACAGGCCCTGTTCTGCCGGTCCCCTCCTTCACTTGTGCCAATTCCTGAAGGGTGCTATTCCACTTCCTTCCAGTAGGGTATGCTGCCACCACTGTCCTGTTGGGGTCTTCCTGCCAGGAGGGACAGACTCCTGTCACCCCTTCTCAAACAGAGGCCCTTCCTCTGGTCTTCTGCTACCCAGTGCCTGGTTACCACAGGGACCAAATTCCTTCTTTGTGAGGACCCTGGAGAATTGGCAATGGGCGCCTTGACTGCTTGCCTTCCCCCATTCCCGGGACTCCCCTCTTAAAGTAGTGTGGTCCAAGGCAGTTGGGGGAACTATGTGGCCCAGAGAACACTATTAGCTTCAAAGAGTTGGCACTCCATGAAATTGCTGAGCGGTCGGGTTAGAACGGATAAAAGGAAGTACTTCTTCACCCAAAGAGTGATTAACACTTGGAATTCACTGCCACAGGAAGTGGTGGCGGCTACAAGCATGGACGGCTTCAAAAGGGAATTAGATAAGCATATGGAGCAGAGGTCCATCAGTGGCTATTAGCCACAAGGTATAGATAGGGACTCTGGGGCAAGTGATGCTCTGTCATCTTGGTGCTTGGGGGGGGGTCAACAGTGGGATGGCTTCTAATGTCCTGGCCCCACTGGTGGACCACCTGATGGCACTGGTATTTCTGGCCACTGTGGGATACAGAGTGTTGGACTGGATGGGCCTTTGGCCTGATCCAACATTGGCGTCTCTTATGTTCTTATGTTTAAAGAGTTAAATGTTTATTAAAAAGAGAAAAAGGTTACAAGCATACTTTTAGCATAGCACCAAATCAGCAACCAGAAGGACAAAGAAAAGTTTGTTACAAACACATCCTTCTTTCCATGGTTCTAAAAACACACTCTAACTAGATGTCACAATCAGAGTAGGTACGTACAAACTTAGAAAGTTGCAAAAGGTTCTAAAGATGTCCCATTACCTCAGGCTCCCTGCATCCGGTGGACCAAGCCGCGTGGTTAAAGATGGCTCCTGGCCTGCAGAACAGAGCTCAGCAATCTGTCCTCTTCCAAGGACCAGCACCAAGAGGCCCTCCCTCCTGGGAGCGAGCACTTTTATTAAACCTCTGACTCCACCCATCCTACATTACTCTCCTCACCACTCTGGACCTTGTCGAGCCAGGTCACACAGGTGCATCCTGGGAGCCCTCCTGGAAGGCATTCTGGGAAATCTCCAGGAGTTGCCAGCAGTGTTCCCTCTAAGCTGAGTTAGTGTGAGCTAGCTTACAGTTTTTCAGCCTCTGGCTCACACACTTTTGTTTTAGCTCAGGCCAAGGATGCCTCCAGAACAAACTAATTTATGCAGTAGCCAAATCGCTCGCTCACAACTTTAATGCCAGTAGCTCACAAAGTAGAATTTTTAATCACAAGACTCCATAGCTTAGAGGGAGCATTGGTCATCTGGAGATTCCTAACACCACATCCCTCAGTTACTTTGCAAGCTGAGTTATTTGCATAACTATGGCTGGTAACT